TCGGGGGCCTCTGCTCATCTGCGCGGTCCGCACTCTGCAGCCTGACTGTGGCCACCCGCGAGTGCGGGCTTCGGGCGCCCAGGGGAAGCAGCACACATAGCTCAGTCATGAGCCTGCATCCTAGATCTCGGGGACGGGGGCTCGCACGGAGCTGGCACAGCTTCCCAAGTGTGCTCTAGGCCTCTGGACTCCAAACCCAGCGCCGCATACACTGGGCACGGAGCACACCTGCAGTCCCAGCAGGTGACAGGCTACATGGCTGTCGCCAACAACACTGAAGTACTGGGGGCTGCTGGATCCAGCTCCTTCTCCTGTTCTACAAATCTGCTGACTACACCGAGCACGAATGGGTGGGTGCCCGCCCCAGGGTAAAGAGTTCCATCCTCAGGACCAAATCACTGCCATGAAGAACAAGGTCAGAAGCAGGAAAGACTTCCCAAGGACCACAGCACGCAAAAACAGACACACTAAGATGAGAGGGCAATGTGCGATTCTCAGTTGTGTTTTGAGCCTAGCGGTGATACGGAGCCAGTGACTGACAACAGGGCTGTTAATATTTATATCACTGGTGTGCGGCCCAGCTAGCAGGCTGGGGACGGCCAGTTCCCTCTGATGTCAGCACTTTGGCAACGGGCTGCCAGGCACGTTTGGATGTGAGCAAGTCGGGCTGAACACCACGTGGGCCACAGTCTCCTTTCACTTCCCAGCAGTCTGGACGCCAGTTGTTTCCAGTGTTTCAATGGGGATGTCTATCAGGACACGTGTAACCGAAATCACAGGCAGAAGCAAATCCTGTGCAGCCTAATGAGAGGGAGTCAAGCAGTAGGCGCTGCCCCGTCTGAATGTGGGTACGCTGAGGTGAATCATTCTCCACTACTGTGGAGGTTTTGGCTTATGGTATGTAAACATGTTTTTGTTAAAATTCCAACTTGGGGATTTGAGTTGTCCACACCTGTTAATGGACCATAGTCTTTGCCTGGTGGAATTGGTTGAATTCTGAGGACTCTGAGGGGTAACGTGACAGCCCAGAGGAAGGAGGCGCGGCTGCTTGGAGGAGGGAGGGCTGCTTGCTGCGGGTTCGTCCTGCTGCTGCATGTGCTGTTTGCTGTTTGCTGGTCACCCAGGCTTCTGAATTTCTGGATGACTGATACTGGTATTGTCCCCGAAAGGATCCTACAACCCTACCCAGAGGAAAGTAGCAGAGACGACTCCGCCCCTGTCCCCCCTAACCTTCTTTCCCTCCTACCCGGTGTTGGGGGGTTGGAAGGGAGGTAGGAGTGAGTGTTTAATAACCCTAAATGAAGTGAGTTTGCTAAAATATCTAGGTCAGCACTCCATCTGCCTCAAGATCACGGAGAGCTTACAGACCACAGACCTCACAGACCCTTTCCTGGACGTCACAGCTCGAGTACGTCACAGAAAGCCCAGTGCGCATGCCAAGGAGGCCACAAACCCAACCCAACCCCTCAGTGCCTGCACACCTGCGGCCTGTGTGATGTAGCTTATTAGGCTGGACTCAAGGAGGGGTCAGCACAGCCACTCCTCTGCCCCGTCGGCCAGCTTTCGAAGCCACTGCCATGGCCATCAGCCCTTCAAAGAATAAACTAACTCTGGTACATGGCTTCTGGAACCCTCAGAAAGGACCATGACCCACAGACTTCAGTGCGGCGAGCTTTACACAGCCCTATTAGCATAACATCTGCAGGGACTGAGAGGGAGGCAGGCACCAGCTGCATAGCTGCCTGCCCCTTCCCACGCAGGGAGACGGTGGCCTGACCCTTCGGCATCTGCCGCCACCCACCACACTGTCTCAGCGGGAGGCCCTGGAGCCCCAGCTCACGTCCTGGAACCACCCGGAGCACGCATTAGCCCCCTCTATGGCAAAACACATAGTTGGCTCCCACTGTCACTTCCGTTTGCCAGGGGCTCCTGGAGGTCACGGGGGCAGGAAGGCAATGAGCTATCCCCAAAGTCAATTAATGGCAATTAATGCTGCCAGGGTAGCTAGGTATAGCCCTGAAGGGCAGAGAGGAGAGGAAGGGGAGAAGAGGCTGTGAGCATGGAGGACAACAGCACCCACTGCTGGCCCTAAGCGTGCATCTGTGTCTGTGGAGCATCAGCTACCACAGTAGCTGCGAGGGTCATGGCGTGCTTCTAGGCCTTCCTTCCTTCTATCCAAGACCCCATAACCCTGCTTTCTGTTCTTCGCTCCACTTGTCCTTTCCATCACCATATTCTGTGAGCATATATACACGTCCACCGTACGATTTTTCTTTAAATGTGACAGTACAGACAATAACAGCCACATTTATTAAAACTCAAAAGTTACTTAAAGGGACTCTGTTTAGTCAAAAGAACAAAACTTCAAATCCCTAATTTATGTCATAAAACGAGGGCATGATCAACTTACCCAGGGGATTGGCACCAATAAATACATTTGCGAAGTTCATCTTCGGCATCTGGGCCAGAGACTGAATGTAGTTTCTTGCCTGTGGAAACAAGGACTTTTAGAATGTCTGTGTTTGGTAGTTAGCAGCGCGGTAGCAGCTAAGCTGAGGCCCACCCCATTCCAGTTAAGATCCTGCCTGAGACACTCATTTCAGATCTACCATCTCCCCACAGCTTTGTTTCTGAGAGTGGTGACCGATCACCTCCTCTTTCATTAGCTTTCCAGCAAAGCGTCAAAAGCGTGAAAACAGAATGGAGACTTCTAAGAAGTGTTTCCAGAACTGCCTTCCTAAGCAGGTAAGCTATGCAGAGGGGCTGGTTCTGCAGCAGACTCTCTAACAGCCATGGCTGTAATCCCTTCCTGCTTAACCCTGTAGACTGGAAGAAGGAATGGAAGAGAGGTAGGAAGACCCATCTTGCCCAGAGAAGCCATCCTTCAGTACACACAAGAAGAGTGATGCTGCCATGAGGGATTTGTCTGTTTGCTGGCCTGTTGTCCTAAAACACTAAGGGCATGTGACTAGAAATACCCATTCACCTTTGATTATGAACTGGAGTTAGGTTAAAAGGTCAGGAGCTGGTCAAGACCTCAATTCCACCTGCGTGCTCATATTTATTATGAATTATTTGTCTTCTTAAAAACAACAACACAGCATGCCAATTAGCGTAAGGTACAAGGCACCACAGTGTGTACCTGCATGCGACCCTTTGTCACTAAAAGTGGACAAGAAAGCAACGCTCGCTAATGAACCCGTGACGAAGCTGCAATGCACCCTAACTACACACACCTACAAAGACACACATGGTGCCTCAAGTACAGACTCAGAAAACCAAACGCCAAAGGAGCATTGCTTCCTCCTCACAAGCCAACGTTGTACTGTTGCCTCTGTCTGGCAAATGTCTACGTCCTGCTAGCATACGGTCAGCCACTGCTTTAGCAGCCCTTGGGGCACATGCAAGCATTGGGGGACATTAGAAACTGCCTGTTACACAGAGACACTCCAACGAGAAGGTGGCCTCTCAGACCTTCCTGAACATGCTGTTGGTTCTCACCTCATGGCTTGGCATCCTGTTAATGAGATAAGCAGGGGGTGTCCCCGTCAGACGCATTATCTGCTGAAGCTGGTTAATATCTTAGATGCCTAGTCAAGGGCATTGTTAAACACAGTGCAAAAATCAACTCCAGTTGTCGTTTTTTGTTTGTTTTTAAGTCAAGAAGCCATCCCCAAACAAAACAACTCTTGTTTCCCAACTACACCAGGCCAGAGCCTAAGGCTGCGTGTCACAACATTCTTCGGAGAATGGCAGGAGCTATTAGTATGTAGCTGGTGAGCGGCCATGTGCACTTGCAAGCTAACTCTTCCTCAGCGTCAACTTAATGTTAACCAGTTGAGGCTCTCTGAAAGCAGACTGCTCCTTGATCTAGGATGCCAGCCAGAGACTTCTCCGTCCAGGCACTGTTTGCAAGTGCTAATGGCCAAAACCTGTTTGCCAGTGGCAAAAATAGAAGACGGCGACAACTGTGAGCAAACTCTAGAAAAAGAACACATCCAATAGATGTACCGAGGAAGAGGCCGAGTACTGGGCACAGACTCGAGGAGTCACATGCCTACAAGCTGTGAGCGGGAGTGTGGGTGCTTCCTGTGCCAATCTCAAAGACACTGGCAGTGGTACACTTAAAATGCATGACACAAACACACAGGGAGATGAAGAAGGGTACATTAGAAGGTTGATAGCAAAGGCAAAACAGAAGCCACAGGCTGGCTGACAGTGTCAGACAGGGCGTGCCACCATCACCCCATACCTGTAATGAGTGAGCACATTAACTTCAATGAACACAAAGTTCAAAACGCTGTGTTTATCTGACTAGGCAAAACCTCCAGGTTGTAGGAGTCAATTCTCCCTTTCCACTGTGTGGGTTCTAGGAATGAACTCAGGGCCTTGGCTGCTGAGCCATCTCAGTGTCCTTCTGCACATGATAGGTCTACTCTAAACTTCCTTTAACCATGCCATCAATCACCAGTTACAGGCTACAGCTTCTGAAATGTAAGAACCCATGGCTGGTTTATCACACTCTTTCTCCCAAAGTAGAAGTGATGATAGTATTTTAAATCTTAACAGGATTTAATGAACTTCCTTTCTATGCTGCTAAGTATCAAGCCATCCTTCAGCGGGGACCTCATTTTTAATAAACAAGCCAAGCTCCCTAATGCACTGAACTGATCGACGCACAGATTACTGTAATGCAGCTGCCCTTCCCCTACCTGGGCCCAAACATGGGCTGGCTCCTTCCACCATACACTCCAGACCTCCCTTCAAGCAAACGGTATACTGAACAATAGTCTGCATGCCAAGAAAAGAACAAACAGGGCCACGGGGCCAAACAGCCGTAGCAGGATTCAGTTAGCTTTCATACACAAAGTCAGATCTGATTTTGTCTGTTTTTGTCAAACAGCTGAGCAGATGACCCTCCCACATCAGGGTCAGGCCTTTGTTTTCTCAGCACTGTGATTTGTTCGCCGCCTGGTCGGTCTAGGTGCCACTGACCAAGTGAGTGCGTGGGCTTGTCATGACCACCCAGCTTTCTACTCCATCCCACAGCACCTGCTCTTGGATCCTGCTGCCTTGACCATGCTGGCTTCACTGTCCACTCTTCCTGGAGGACTTTACTAACGTCTTCCCGTTTTAAATTCTCTGAATAATTTTGCTCAGCTTTTTTCACACGTGCTTAGGCATTATGTGTTTCCTACTCCTATGGGTTCTGGGGAGTAGACCCTTGGCCTTGCTGATGTAACTGAGCAACATTTTTTTTCTTTTGGAAACAAGTGTTTTACGGATTAGCCCAGCCTGCCCTCAAAGTTGCTCTGCAGCTAGGTTACAGGCCTGCAGCTTTACACCTGGCATCTTGCACTTTTGAGAGTCAAAAGTGTGGGGTGGTGTCCCCAACATTAACTAACCTTCCCTGTGCTTTTTAAGCATTTGGACTACCTTTACTACTCGTGACAACTACGCAGGCAAAAAGTTCCTTTCTCACTACTACCCTTAATCAAGCATTATTGAGAGGTTGTTTAGTTTGGTACCTGGCTTTACTCTGCCCAGTGCTGTACTAGAACTGATGAAATGTGTGATGTGCTCATTTCATGTTGAGATAAAGACATCTCCGTGTTAGGCCACGAATCCAGCTCTGTTTCTTGAACAGAAATGATGGGTTGGTGATGGGTACATATCACCTATCTCACATGCCTGTTTCAGAATCTACAGTAAGCAACACAAGTCAGGTGCTGCTGACAGGAATACCCAGGCCCTATTCACTAGCCAGCTGAACTCCCTCCCAAACTCCACCCTGCCCCATGCCCTCTTAACAGCCCTTTTTTGTTTGTTTGTTTGTTTTGTTTTTTGAGACAGTTTGTCTGTGTAACCCTGGCTGACCTGGAACTTGCTCTGTACACCAGGCTGGCCTTGAACTCACAGAGATCCGCCTGCCTCTGCCTCCTAGGTGCTGGGATTAATGATGTTCCACCACACCTGGCTTTACCAGCCCTTCTTTGTAACACACTAATGCAAAACCTAAAGCCTGTCCTTCCTGAACACCCCTCATGGCTTTGGCTCTCCGCCCCAGCTTCTGCATGTCAGAAGCAGCTCTTCAGTCGTGGTCAATACTCCTGACGGTGACTTTCAACATAAGGTGCAACTGTGTGCAACGATTAGCTTGCGTCACCAGGGCACCTAGGATCCGCTGCCTCTGCCCAGTGGCTCAAGCATGACTCAGGCAAGTCACAGCTTTTGTTTTTTACTTCCTTATCTTAAATGAGTAAATGAAACACAACAAAACAGGCCCAGCACACATTTTTACACCCCTCAGAATAGAAGCCGTTCTGAGCTCCAGGGGCCTTTATGCACAGCCACACACCAGATGCTGAGTCTTGATTTTGCAGGAGAGATGATGAACAACAAACTCACGAGTTGCTGCCTGCCTCCAGCTACACAACTGCCTTCCCAGTTGGGCAAAGGGCCCTTCTATTGGGAAGTGGTGGGAGGAAACCCGAGAGGGCACAGCCGGGCTCGGATCTTCTATTTATTCCCCAATGGGAAAATACGAGGAAAGAGGGGTTTCCTTCGTGTCCTCCAAGTTTCTGGTCCCAAAAAGTGACCAAAAGCAAAAAACAAAAACAAAAACAGAAGTCATGGCTAAAGTAAACCAGTCACCTTCTTCCAGCCTCCATGGAGAAAGCACAAGTTCCAAGTGGCCCTCATGCTAGTCTCTGTATTGACCAAGGTTCCTGGAGGAGCTCAGAGCCATCTGTAGACTGCTGGGAGTGGAGGAAGCTGCTCTGTGTGGTCTGAGTGGGGAGAGGCGGTCCCTGGGAGACACCTCGCACAGGAGGGCCCCTCTAGGGAAGTAAAGAGGTAACTTTCAGGCAAGACACATTTTACCCTGCAGAGATATTCGGACCAGCCCACAGTAAGTATCCGGAGATTAGATGCCCAGGAGATGTGAGATGAGCTCTTGAGCAGGTGGGCTGCTTCAGAGAGAAGTCAGGGCTCAGGAACAGACACACAACTGCTCATTAATGTCTCGGAATAACTGGAATCTCAACTCTGTTTTATTAGCATACAATTGCCCCAGAGAGTTCCCATGATCTTTAGCCCACACCAGATAAAGACAGAATAAAACACTCACGCATGCAAGCAGGTGCATGCAGGCCCACGTGTGCAAACACCGCACACCCCCGAAGTCACACACAGAGCACACGTGCTTACAAACATTCCAAAGTCAGAGTGCAGAGTGACGGAAGGCAGTGGCAGAGGCCCCGGAGGGTAGTAATCACAATCAAAGCGTCAACTCACAGACTCTGAGGAGATTTTCTTCAGAAGCTCAGCCCCGGGGGTTCCAACGAGTCTTAAAATGAGCTTCAACTGATCAATATCTAATGGTGGACTATAAAGGAAAATGTCGGGACAAAACAAAAGTGAAAAACAAAACAAAACAATAATGAACAAAATAAAACAACAAAACATCCCAATAATGAAAACTAAAACCCCTAACCAAGGCCAAAGTGGTCAAAGAATCTAAGTGGAAAGCTTCTTCCAGGCGGTCACTTCCAACAGGACACGCTCCTCCGCACAGCAGTTGACGCTGACCAGCACACGCACGCGCACACCTGTCAACAGTATGCAGCGAGGAGTCAAGCCACTGTGGCTGGCGCTTAGATGGCAGAGGACAACGGGCCATGACACTCAGCGCACGGGGCCGGCCTCTGCTTCCGCCTCAGCCTCCACCACGGCAGCAGGAGCCAGCTGAGCAGAGCGCACTGGCAAGCAGAGGCCCGCAGGAACACCAGCAGCCGAGTGTGCAGCTAGGCACAGTCTGTTCGTGACTATTCCCCTAAGGCCTGACCGAACGAGCCTGTAATGTGTCAGCTGGGAGGCCTGCTCTCCTCCCGACGCCTGCCCACGTGAGTGTGCCCTCTGGAGACCTCTCCTCCCACATCCAGGAGGCAGGGCATGGGAGGGGACGGCCAGCCGGCGGAGGGCACGGCCCCAGTGTAGTGTACGCCACAGTTCAAGCTTAACACAGGAATGCAAGTGTGCCAGGCTTCAGCACTAAAGGCTTTAAGCGTCACGGACACTGATGCTGTCTGCGCAGAACAAATGCGCATGTGCCCACTAGAAGAGCAAACACGCCACTTACTCTCGCTGCCTTTAGTCAGAGAGAAAAAATCGTATAAAATGACACCTGAATAGCCTTTCCACACCTAAGCTGACGATGCGGTCGGGAGGGGAGCACTAGCTTTGCAGGATTAGAGCCTCTCTCCACGCGTCAAACTCGAGCCCCTCGCCCCAACCTCCCCACGCTCTCTAGAACACCCCTTCCTCTCTCTGAGCAGCGTTTGGTCTGTGTGCTTGCCTTGTGCCTTCAACAATGCACAGGTCGACAAGGGCAGCAGCGCACCTGTCCCCGCTTGCATCCCTGGCTGGGGAGTAGCTCTGTTTATTGTGCAGGCTGGCTTTGATCTTACAATCCTTCTGCTTCATTCTCCCAAGTGCTGGGATGACAGGTGTATGCCATCATGCTGGACCCTGTCAGTAATCTCGAGATTATCACCTGGCACATAAAAGGTACACACAACGT